AATACACGGCTGTGCAAAAATGGCCTTTAAAACTGATAGCAAAATTCCAAATTATTTACATCCTTATCAAAAAAACAAACAAACCCCACACACCTCAATCCTCCCTAACATTAGGCCTAGCAGAATTGAACTGCAAAACTCCCGATGATTTGCTGCCATTTACTGGTCATTCAAATCTGTGCAGCCCAGATTTTGTGATTTTACCTAATATACAATCAAAACAAGCTTATCTGAACAAGCAACTGATTGGGTAAATAATGCAGAATAGAATAATCATAATCTCCCCTGCTGGAAATGCAATCTGTAAAATTTTGGATATTCAACCCCTCCTTTTAGTAATCCATCCTATTACCCTGGATGGATCTATTTATAATCTTAAGGGGTGACCATTCCTTTGGCCCAAACCAGGATTTAGCTCTGATTAAACACAAACCACAGAGAGTCAAGATGCAAAGCAAAAATAATAATTACATTATGTTTAAAGCCAGTTTAAATAAGCAGGACACAGGGTTTTTTTCTTCTTCTGGCGCTAATTTAAGACTTAGCAAAAAAAAAAAAAAAAGATTGAAAGCATGCTTGCTTGTGCACCCCAAGAACTTGCTCCATGTTCAACATATAACTCAACAGCCCAATAATTCACATAATTCTCAGCCCAAGTCTTGCATTTTGTCCACCACACTAGACCAGTTCATTCAACGTTGTCTTAACTGTCTGGAGCAATACTGTTTAATTATTATTCCAATGGGGGGACAGATATGTTTATCAGGTTAAGAAAAATTAATAGCCTCTTAGGGATTTTATGACTATAGGACATAGTCAAGACACTGCAATAAATATTTCTGTCTGGCCCAGTCAGTGAGTCTGCACAGCCATTGCTTCATTCTTACAAAATGAAATGAATGCCAGAGGTGGCGTTGTGTAACCCAGCAGAAAGTGGCGACTGGCTATGAACATTTCAGTGAATTTAATGACTTTGCTTTTGATTAGATAGAACTTAATGATCTGAGTCTGAACAATCCAAAGCGTTGCAAATTGCCTTTGATCAAACTGAAATAGCATTGCAATAATTATTGGCATCGTTAATTAATTAATTCTTAAACATCAGCCTATTTTTAAAATCCCTTTTGAGAGAACTGGTTTAATGGCTCAGGTTATCTTTGCTATATAAATGGCTGTTGGGCTGCTTTTTAGACATTATACCATTGGTCAGATGTTATTTGGGGTACAGTAAGATATTAAGAAAACATCCAAAGGTGCTTTTTTCAAGAAAAAAGCATTCACCTCTTGAAAAAAGCACCTTTGGGACAACCATGACCTGGATGACTGAGAATCTCCATAGATATTAAGAAAACACTTTATCAAACAACCCTGGATAGCCCTTACTCATTTCAATCCATTTAAAAGAGATGAAAGAATCTGGGTATAAAATGACAGTTTTAGAGAAAATGCTCTCATGGGCTTGCACAAATGAAACTGTACAATGTTTGATATTTTGTTTGAACTGATATTTGTACATGCAGTTTACATGAATATTAATGCCAGTTCAAACCTAAATGGAACTGCTCATCTGTGTCAATGTAGCTGGCCAAGGATTATTTTAATTTGGAATTGTAATATTCTTCCTTCTTGAATTCTCAATGAAAATGCAAATTGGTAATAAATAAGTAGAGGTGAACAGAGTTTATTCAGGCCTATTATTGCTAAAATGAAACTTGTTATTATTTTCAAATGTATTATTTAATTTGAGTTGGAGGAACTGAACCCATAGGACTGAGTAAGAGTATTGAAAATAAATTTATAATTCAGTGTGATAATGATCTGATCAGTGGTGGGATTCAGCCAGTTCGCACCACTTCGGGAGAGCCGGTTGTTAACTTTCTGAGCAGTTTGGCAAACTGGTTGTTGGAAGAAATCATTAGGGCAGAGAACCGGTTGTTAAATTACTTGAATCCCACCACTGGCTCTGATCTAATTTGCTGTTGCTACTATAATTTGATTTATATTTTTATTACAATAGAAGTCTAGATTTAATAATAGAAAATATTGCATCAGCCTAATCTAAAATGCTTCTATGTAGCCGCTTCATGCACAACATGGAAAAAACAGGAAGGGAATTCAATTTCCACCCTTTATTCACCCTTGTTGTATGATTTAGGTTATAGATTTCAGCACAGGAAGAAAAAGGGAGAAAGAACAGCAAGAAGCATCAGTCATACCAAGAATCAAATATGGCAACGATAATCCTAATTGTGTAACTTTGAAGTTAAATTGCACAAACAATATGGTAGCATCTGAAAACTTAGGCTAAACTATGTCCATCTTTCATCTTATGTTCTATGCAGTTCTAGAAACTCATAAAAAAAATCCTGGGTCAACATGACATCTACAGTTTAAGGGAGAGATGAAAAATAACAAATGTTTGGAACAGCAGTGAAGAAGATAAAGCAATAAGTGTTATATCCGGAGTATCATACAGACAGATTAATTTCAGTGGTCACACTACCGAGCCTGCTGCCAAGCTCATTGTTCTAATTTAATTCCATGGTGTCAGCCTCTAAGAGCTGGTAAAATATTTGCACACACACAGAGCTGAGAAGGAGAGGAAATAGCTGAGACCAATCTAACCAAGCCCTTCTTCCCGCTCATCGGCGAACATCTCAAGCAACAGAGGTTTCCAGCCAAGCTGCCTAAATTCCTGTTGGAGCTCCCAAGAGGAGTTTTGAACTTTGTTCTGCAAAATAAGCAAACACACTTGCTTTCAAACCAAGAAGAAATCCTTCATAGACCCTAGAGATTAATTACATGTATCTAAGCCATTAGAGATACAGGGCTGGAAATAAAGAATCAAATCAGTGAAGGGGGCATAATGATCAAACTGACTAAAAGGCTGTGATTCTGATTTTTTCCCTATGGCTTTGGCAAAATATTCTTAAAGATTTAGGGCATAAATTTATAATCTATATTTCTTCTGCTACATACATATATGGAGCCCAGCTGTGACATTACTGACAAGCATGGTTGAGTTAATTTGTTATTTGTTATTTTGCCTTACGAACCTTGAAAAGGATTGAGTAAATCATACAGTAGTGTGTAGTAAGGATTCTAGAAGTCACAACAAGGAGACATAAGGACTCTTACATTTATCATCTCTCTTATAGTGAATATTTTATCTTTCTCAGGGAATGGCTTAAGAATTCATTGTCTTTTACCCAGGACATAAATATGCTGGTTTCTCACTCCATATACAAAAGTCATTTGGACTATCAGTTGAATTATCTGTTTTGCTATATCTATTTAGGGGCTCCGGTAGTGTACACACTGTACACTCTTTCATCCAACAGAACATCCTAGGAGATCAACAGGAGCCATTGGGAGGCACCATTCATCTTTCCCAACATTGACTGCCTTAAGCAATTGCTTCATTCAGTCTCACAGTATGACCAGTTTTGACTTAGACTGGTCTTATGTATGTTTATTTAGAGCAGAAAGCTCCATCTCTGAAGAGACTCCTTGTCCCTTATGATAAGCTCATTAGTCTCAGTCTATGGACTTACCAGATGGCAGGAAAGGCAGAAAACAGTAACATTCATGCAGAGTTACCTTTAAAAAATTCCCTAATATAGATTGGGACCATATAACTGACTAAGCCCAAAAAAATAGTTTGCTTATTTTATACAGTAAAGTGAATTGATCATTTGTGGGCCTTACGGCACTTATCTTGCCTGCTGGGAATTCTGGGCTCCACATACAGCCTGTGGACCATAAGTCCAACTTTTATGTTTGTGAACTAATTGCAATTTATCTGGTCCAACCATGGATAAGCAAACCATAATTTATTGTGCTAAACACAGCAACTGTTAGATGCAAACAAGCAGATCCACACATGTAGTGTTCAGGCTAGCTATTTTATTGTTCTCTGTCTATTACAGAGGATTCTCCTCAGCCTGGCAGATTTAGCCTATCAACAACCAGATAAGGCTGTAAGGCAGCAGCCCCCAACTTTTTGGGCACCAGGGACTGGTTCCGTGGAGACAGGTTGTTTCGCGGACCAGAGGGGGTGTGGTTTCGTGTGTTCTCTGCATCCTGCGGATGGGGCTTTGCTTGTTTGCGCGGCCCAGTTTCTGACATGCCACAGACCGGTGCTGAACCACAGACCAGGGGTTGGGGACCCCTAATCTAAGACATTTAAGGAAGGTCATATCTAGCTCTCTTTTATTTACATAGCAACTGGAATGATTGTTTTCCAACAGCAACTGTGTCAGCTCCTAAAGATCTACGTTAGCCCATGCGAAATGGCTTGCTGGGAGTATTATGAAGAATATAAAAAAATGGCTCCTATTGTTGCTTGTCCAGGTTAGTCTTTAGTGGAGGATCTTGTTCACTCAGTCCCATCATATAGTTATATCCAATTCTATGGGCAAGGAACTGAAGCCTTAAGCATACTGATGAACAAAACAGCTGCAGAGTTTATTGTATTTCTAGTTCATTGCTAATTTATATTTTGACTTTCCTTGCCATTCTTCATGCAAATAGAATTACTCTGACAAGCAGAGGCAAGGTCATGAGAGAGCACAAAGGCAGATTGTAGATCAATCGCAAGCAATTGCAAATTGCCAAACTGGTGATCTGGTTTATGTGACGATATGAGCATGACATTTGGAAGGATTATTTTTTTTAACTCATTCAATTTTAGATAAAGAGAATTGCAAAGAGAAAAAAACATCTTTTGTGAAAAATAATGTGAATTTAATCAGGGTCAAACTTTTTTTGCTCTTTGCTTGGCTTTTATTTTATCATGCAGATATAATGGGATCTACAGAGGCTAATTTTTTTCTTTCAGGTATTCCATTCAACTGTGCATGAAAACCAAATATTAATCATTTTAATGTGCACAAGGATTGCAGAAATGTAGAGCTTAATTTGAAATGCTGTATTTGATTATAAACTAAAGTCTTTAAATATCATCTTTTTCAATCTTATATTTGTTTCTTTTTCTGCAGATAAACATACAAGCATAATACTGTCAACCCAGGGCCTATATAAATACAAAAAATAGGCATGGGGTTGCTTGATCAAGTCAATAGCACCGTCATCTTGGAAGAGCGTATCTTAGAGAAGAAACCACAGTCTCGCTGGCATGCAGACAGTCTTGTCACCCCCAGTCAAGGATTTCAAGGCGGATCCAGTGAAATTATGATGGACAGCACCAAGATCCTGGGGGTCCAAATCATACTGGTAATGGCTTATTCTCTCATCATTCTGCTGGGATTCATTGGCAACTCCTTGGTCATCTACATGATAGTGAGATACAAAACCATGAGGACTGTAACCAACTTTTTCATAGCTAACTTAGCTCTTGCTGATTTAATGGTGGATACTTGCTTGCCCTTTACTTTGGCTTACACTCTGCTGGATGAGTGGAAGTTTGGGGCTGTACTTTGTCACCTGGTGTCCTCTGCTCAAGCTTTAAGTGTTCATGTATCTATTCTCACATTAACCGTGATTGCCCTCGATAGGTACAGATGTATTGTTTTTCATTTAGACAGTAGAATATCCAAGAAAATCAGCTTCACCATCATAGCGATTACATGGCTGGTTGCCGCTCTCCTAGCTAGTCCACTGGCTATCTTTCGAGAATACAGATACGAAGAAATTCCATCCATCAACCTCAGAATCGCTGTCTGCTCAGAGAAATGGCCTTCTGGCAACAGAGATGCCACTATATACAGCCTATCCATGCTCATCCTGCAATATGTCTTCCCTCTTTCTATCATCTGTTATGCCTACATCAGGATATGGTTCAAACTGAAAAGCCACATTAGTCCTTCTGCTAGAAATGACACTCACTGTCGCAGGAAAAAGACCACAAAGATGCTTTTCATGGTCGTTGTGGTGTTTGCCGTCTCTTGGCTACCTTTCCATGCTTTCCAGCTTGCCGCAGACTTAGATATGGCACTTGCCCTCCATGATTATAAACTCCTTTATACGGTATTTCATGTCATAGCTATGTGTTCCACTTTTGCAAACCCTTTGCTCTATGGCTGGATGAATAAGAACTACCGCAATGGATTCCTTATGTTCTTCCATTGTCAGAAAAAGCCAGAGAGGCTCTATGTAGAGGGATCAATTCGGGGGAGGTCCTTCACTTTCAAGGCTACTACTTTGAATGGGAGCATCAAGCACTCAACAGGTGATGGACAGCTACCAACACCGGTTTAGTACATAACAGCTTCATCTCCACACAGGGCCTACCTGTGTTGCCCACCTAAAACTGTTGTTTCCTCCCCCCTAAAAATAAAATTGCCAAATTTGAATTGCCAAAATGCTGTCATTGTCATAGTTAGATGAAAGCACCTTATCTATTGGTCTCTCAAGCTTTGTGTACCATCCATTCTGCTTTCCCAAGTTAAACAATCCTTGCCTCCAATTTGTGTTTTGTGTTCCAAAAGAAGCAGAAATCATTTCATTCCAGCATGCTTTAATTTATGAGAATAAATACATAAATTTTACTGTTATTTGAAGGGCAGGAGAAATAGCAGGCAGGATTATTTCACTGCTTTAGGCGCTTAAGAGGGAATGAAGTTGTTTGCAACAATATTGACAAATCACAGCAAGCAATGGCACTTATTAAATACATGGTGTTTATTTTAACTTCCTGCAGATTTTTTCCACTCCTTATACCAAAGATCTATCTTACCATTCCTTAATCAGAATTCTGGGTAATACATTATTATAGTTATAGTTCAACAAAAGAATAGGAATGAAAAAGTTGTATAACACACGGGTTCTATGAAAGTTGTTCTAAAGTAATTAATTCCAACTTCTCCAAATATTAAAAAGGGCAAAATTTGCTTTTTGATTTCCAGCAGAAAATATTGACTCTAAATGTTTTTAGGCTAATGTTGTTGATAGTGACACTCACACTGCACTCCACTTTTTGCATTTCATTCACTGGTTAAAGTGATTGTTAAATCTTGTTCTTTAATACGTAAATATTTATTTTGGGAATTGAAATTCCTGTTCTTCTTGACTGTCATGAATATTTCATATTATGAGATTGCTTTCCTACTTTTTCTGTTTGGGGGATTCTAAGATGTCATCCATAGCCTTCATTCTTGGTAAGTTATTGCAAAAAACATGTCCTATAATACAGGTAGTCTTCGACTTACAATAATTCGTTTAGTGGCCATTCAAATTTACAACAGCACTGAAAAATGTGACTTATGACCGTTTTTCAAAATTACGACCTTTGCAGCATCCCCATGATCATGTGATCAAAATTCAGATACTTGGCAACTGGTTCATATTTATGACTGTTGCTGTGTCTCAGGGTCACGTGATCACCTTTTGCGACCTTCTGACAAGCAAAGTCAGTGGGGGAAGCCAGATTCACTTAACAACCAGGTTACTAATTTAGCAACTATAATGATTCACTTAACAACTGGTACAAGAAAGGTCATAAAGTGGGACAAAACTCACTTAACAAATGTCTCACTTATCAACAGACATTTGGGGCTCAATTGTGGTCATAAGTCGAGGACCACCTATACTTATATCCACCTACTTAACCAATTCAGATTCTGCATGAATACTATAGAAGAACAGATTTTCCTTATCCTGAATTCTCAGTTCTTCTAGTGTCCAAAGTAAGAATCAGGATAACTCCAGGTGGAAGGGAGAGTAATTGCAAAGAGCAAATGTGAGTATTGTGGCAGTCAGTAAAGCACTCTCTCTAACTGAAAATTTTGTGGTTCATTGCCAACATGTTGTATCAATTCTACCATTGCTCCAGGTGATCTTTATCCAGAATTGTTCAGAAATGCTACGGAATATTGATATCCTTGACAATGGTGTTTGCTCTGGGTCCTAGTATGTAAATGAAATCTTCATTAGCTAAGGGAAAGGAATGGAGTCAAAATGATTATAATGAGATTAGAGGTGTAATGGATAACTATGTCTTCATGATGCCCAGTGAAATAATCATCACAAATTGCTGCCAATGTACATTAAAACATCTATCTGGAAGGAACCTTGGAGTCTTTTCTTTCTTGGATCATGAATATTACTCTATCTGACACATGATTTTGTCTTTTAACAGATAAAATACTAAAACATTTCATGATAACTTCTAAAGTCATTTCCCCTTTTTGACCAGAGAAAAAGACAGAGAGAGATGTAAGTGCTCCAAAATTTACCATGAAATAATATTCCATAAATATGTTTTGTGTACGAAGAAGATACATACTTGAGGCAGATATGTAAGTTGTACGGGTTATGATGTCATGATGCAGACTCCTTCCTATGTCCCCTCTGCGGAGGCCCATGTTTGTATGAATGGTGGTAGCTTCAAACAAATTGCACATTACTTTCTTTATATGCAAAGTGACTGCAGATCTACCACATCCCAAAGAAAAACCATTTAAGAAGGGCCGGTTGCAGACCATCTGGAATTGGATCACCTTCCTTTTTCCTTTTACTATCTCTGATCTGGCAAGTTCCATATAGGCAGCAGGAAAAAAAAGTATAGAAAATAATGCTATGTTCCTTTGCTTTAACAGAGGAATTTTAGGAAATCTTTCTTCTTTCTGATTGTTATTTATTTATTTGTTTGTTTATTTATTTATTTATTTATAAGAAAACAAGTAACAAAGTAGACATAGACATGGACACATGAAAAAATTTTGGCACAAAAAAAAGGATATAAATTGGCAAAACATAGCCATAAACACATAGGATGATTACATATAATTGGGAACAGTAGGACAGGGACGGTAGGCACGCTGGTAGGCATGCAGCCCCCTTAGGGACCTCTTAAGAAATATGAAAGGTCCACGGTAGACAGTTTTAGGTAAAAGGTATGGGGTTTAGAGAGACTAACAACAGGATCAGGTAGATTGTTCCAGACATTTACTACTCTATTGCAAAAGTCATATTTCCTACAATTAAGATTGCAGAGTGTAAGCCAAAGTAAAGGGCAAGACTGAGTTTAAATCTATTGATTGGCCCTTGATTGTAGCCAGGAGAGGGTCCCCTTGAAAAAAGACAAAAAACCAACAACCCCAAAACAAAAAACAAAACAAAACAAAACAAAACAACAAAACAAAACAAAAGCTCTACAAACTCTGGTGCAAAAGAGAATTAAAGAGCAAAAGTGATCAGAGAAAAGATGGTAATAATGAAGTTTTTCAGCACAGTTACGGTATTTTTTGGTATGATATTGCAGAGATGCATTCAAAACCTTTGCATTCGACTTCATAATGGAAAAATGAGATATGTCAATATACACATCTATACCAGGGGTGGGTTCTAAATTTTTTTACTACTGGTTCTGTGGGCATGGCTTATTTTGTGGGTGTGGCTTGATGGGAGGTAATGTGATGGTGGGCATGGCCAACTTTTTTTAAAAAAACTTTTAAAAGCATTTTTTCTACAACTTTAAGAGGTTGCAGAAAAAAAGGCTTTTAGAAGCCGCTAAGATCAGGCAACTCAGCTGGGATTGCCAGAGGCTTTTAAAGGCATTTTTTTTCCTACAACCTCTTTGGCCAAATAGGTTGTAAAAAAAATGCTTTTAAAAGCCTCTGATGATCCCAGCTGAGCCGCGTGATCATCAGAGCCTTTTTTTTTTTTACTTTAAAAAGCATTTTTCGGTCGAAGAGGTTGTAGAAACAATACTTTTAAAAGTAAAAAAAAAAGCCTCTGATGAGGTGGGCGGGGTAAGCGACCGGCGACCGGGCCGGGGACCGGTTCGTGGGCGTGGCCAGCCAATGTTATTATCGGTTCTCCGAACTACTACAAATTTTTACTACTGGTTCTTGTGAACCAGTGCAAACCGGGAGCAACCCACCACTGATCTACACCCTTTAGTAATGAATCTATTTTACCTTTGAATCTGTCACAAATCTCTTGTACCACCCCAACATATCCAAATGGCTACAGTGTATGGAAGCATGGTGCAAAACTTTTAACCAGTCTATATTTTCAAGACAACAAGGAAGCTGAAGATATCAAAGAGTGGCTTAAGCTAACCAAGACGTGTTCAGCATAAGAGATTGTAGAAGAAGGAAAGCTCTGACCAGGCTTCTCTCTGTCCTCAGCTTATTATCTGCAGCATGACTGAAAGAATATTGGAATTTGCAAAGGTAAGTAGAGCAATAAAGGAGAATATTTGCAGTTCAGGGTTGAAATGCAACATTTCATTGCCTCAAACTAGGTGACATAGTCAGTGCTCAACAAGTACAGCAATTTCATCCAAATGATATCATAACTCAACATCTTCTTTTGACCTTAGTCCATTCAAATTTCTGAATATAGGAAAGTTGGAGACCCTTTTCTTTATTTTCTAAGAAGCTCCATATTCAAAAAAAGAACTGTGAAGTCCTTGGTGCTTTCTGAGCCTGATTGTTTGCTTGCAGATGTTTTATTACCCAATTAACAATCCTGAGGTCCATATATTCTCTTTTATTGATCCCCAAAAGATCGAAATAAAACTACTCATTAGTTAGATGCATAGGTCTAGTCTTAAATGCAGAACTTGCCTCAGAAATAATCAGTCTGTGTTAGTGAAATGGTCTGATTGGATTGGGATCCTTTTCCCAATCCCAGTCTGTAATTCTGACAGGTGAGAGGGGATTAGGATAGAAATTCTCAGGACAGAAAATTTGAAGCCTCAGAGATGGATGCAACCTCCCAAGTTAGCTAACACTATTAAAATTGGTATTAACGTTGCTTTCTTTTATCACGGTTCTACTTCTATTTGCAGGTCTTTATATTTTGTGATTTTTTTTCCAGTCCTTTCTCTTCTTCTTTGCTGTTTCCAGATACTGTCATGCCAAAATGGACTCTTTCATTAGAATCTGCCATGTTAGAATTTACAAGAAGTCCATTATTTTGTCTCTTGCATTGTGGAACAAGAAACAACAGATCTTGAACTTCTGTGTTTTTTCCTTTCCGTGTATCAGAAAAATGCTACTGTAGCCCTCCACCTTCTTTTTCTCTTCTAGCCTAAGCATTTTTTAATTCTGTCCTCTTCACATGACTTATTTTCTTCTTCTGTCACATGCTATCATAGTCAATCCATTGAATGGAAGATGGAAACCATTTGGTTCAACGGCCTGTTTTTCAATATATCTAAATTCAATAGTAAGAAACAACACATTTTTAAGAGCAATTGTTCTGGATACATTTTAATATTTCATAATAAATCAGAGTTATAGGTTTGAGTTAAGGTGCCCTAGTTTCCCCAAGATTGCATAGCATTGGAACTTACTGATTGATTTTTATTATAAGTCTTAATAATGTTTTCCTTGAGTTTGATTGATTGTCTTTTTGGATGAGTCCAAATGATTTTCTAGGCAACAATTAAGAAAGAGTTTGCAACTCCTTTCTGGATTTTTTAATGTTTTATTTCAGGAGCCATAAATAAACATAAGCCCCCACTCATCCCATGAGACAACTTTGTAATTAGATTCATCCAAGAAAAAGGGCATAAAAATAACCTATACTGCTTTTTAAACATCATGTGAGACAAAAAAGCCTATTTTTAACTTCTGTCATCAAAAGATGTGCGATTGCTGCAGCAATCTTAAAAGCTTGCCACTTGTGTGCTATGATGCTTGCATTTATCTGGATAAAATTCAGTAAAATGATTTGACATACCCCCTCATAAAAAGGGAGGCTTAGAAAATTGATGGCAACAAACCATAATTTGCAACAAACCTACTGGTGTCTGCATTATGCAGTCCAAAAAAGTCCAGATGGAAGCCATGATCAAAAGTTCTTCCTGTGTTTATGTGCACCTCCCTGGATTTGCAAAGTTATAGTGTCACAAATACAGGCAGTCCTCAACTTATGAATACAATTGAGCCCAAATTTTCTGTTGTTAAGTGAGACATTAGTTAAATGTGTTTTGCCCCAATTTATGACATTTTTGCCACAGTTGTTAAGTGAATCACTGCAGCTATTAAATTAGTAACCCAGTTGTTAAGTGAATCTGGTGAATCTGGCTTCCCCAGTGACTTTGATTGTCAGAAGATTGCAAAAGGGGATCACATGACCCTGGGACACTGCAACTGTCGCACTGCAAATGCGAACCAGCCGAATTTTTGATGACAGGACCACGGGGATGCTGCAAAGGTTGCAACTGTGAAAAATGGTCATAAATCGCTTTTTTAATGCTGTTGTAACTTTGAACGGTCACTAAATGAACTATTGTAAGTCAAGGACCACCTGTATGTGCTTCTGTGGGTCCACCTATTGTGTTGCATGAGCAACATGCTGCCTTGGTGACATGTTTAAAGTTGGTTCTGTGATGAATTTGTGTATTTTGGATTTGACCTCTCAGTGAGAATTTTAGTACCCCATCGCATGTTGCATCACTCAAAGCTTCTCCGCTTCTGTTTGTTTAGGTTCCATACCTCGTAGCCATAAGATTGTTGTTTGCACGACTAAGACACTGAAGGGTTAATTGCTTTGGTCTTTCTCGTCTTCTGTTTGGATTGATTTTATGCTATTAAAGCTGAGCCATCTTTAGCCTTTTATTTCTTCATCCGTCACTTGTGTGGCACAGATCTTCTGCTTGAGGGAGATTGAGCAACAGACATCGGCTAGGGGCTCATCATCTCATTTGAATACATGGCAGGGGCAGAAATGGTTTCACAAGCATTGAGTCTTTTTAGGCCATCTGCTCTGCTTGCCAGCTGAGCTCATTTATACACTGCTCAGAATGTTGATAACATCATGAGTTGCTGAGATGGATTGTTTAGTAATCTTAGGGAAAGAAGGGAAGGAAAGTGGAAAAGTGTCTAGGACAGGGGTGTCAAACACAAGGCCCGTGGGTTGGATCTGGCCCGCGATGTGGTCAGATTTGGCCTGCAATGTGGTCGAATCTGACTTGCGGGGCTGTCCTGAAAACTGTAGGGGGCCAGCTCATGTTGCTTTGGCCCGGTCTACCCAATGCAGCAGTTTGGGGAGTGGCATCAAGCTGGCAATGCCTACCCAGTCAGCTATGCCCACCCAGTTGGCCATGCCCAG